CATCGTCGTCGTGTTCGCGCTTGACCTGGCGTGACTGCTCACCGTTCGCGCACACCTTGCTGCTTCGGTCGGACTCGTCGGCCTTGACCTCAACCTCTCCATCGTCGTCGCGCTTCCTCTTCCCGCGGGCGGTTGCCAAGGGCGCGGCAGGAGTGAGGAGAGGTGACGAAGAGAGCGCAGAGGAAGAAACTGATGAGCCTCGAGAAGAAGTCGAAGGAGAAGAAGACGAAGGTGAAGCAGAGGAGGTGCGCTGCGAGGCGTAGATGCGCCGGTCCTGCGGCTCCAGCTTCGCTCGGTAGGGCGACGTGGGTGGCGGCAGGGACGGAGTGGAGAAGGAAGAGGAGGAAGAGGGAGAGCGCTCGGGCTTGACACCACCGCTCTCGTCCCCACGCTTGATGCTCTGAATGAAGCTCTCGATGCGTGGCTGCTTGATGACTGGGGACCGCGGCTGTTGCGGACGCTGTGGCGATGATGATGGCGAGCTGCGCTTGGCTCGCAGCTCGAGCCGCTGTATGCACTCGGGCGAGTTGTTATTCACGTTGCCGACTGCATACACAACACACAACACACAACACACAACACGACACGACTTGACACGTGAGCGAGCTGAAGCCCACAAGGGCTTGACGTCGAGCCATGTGGTCAAGTGAGGTAACTTGGCGCGTACCGAGACTTGGTACGGGGTACCACTCCAGCCCTGGGTCCGGCTTCAGCTGCGCCAGGGCCTCGTCGCTCGAGTACTTACCCGTGCGCAGCCAAATCTCGATGCCGGCTTCGTCAAGGATCACTACAAGAGACAAGCAAGCAGAGCTTAGCGAGTGGCGTATGTAGGATGTGCTGAGATTATTCATATTCATACCTGGCATGCGCTCATGACACCAAGCGAGGTTGGGAGCCGCGGCAGTTGTGATCATTGTGAAGGTCAACAGTTCATTGCCTGCAGCGGAAACGACATCAACGTCAGAAGTGCTGGCCATGCGGGACGCACCACAAACAACAACAAGAAAGGCGATGGCACCTTGTGAGTCCTTCCAGCAGTCGTAGAGGCCGGCCAAGGCCAACAGCTTGCGGTCGGGGCGTTGGAAGAAGAAGGGCTGCTTGGCCTGCACGCCGGGCGAGGGGGTCGAGCACTCCCACTCGAAGTAGCCCTCGATCACCACGACGCACCGTTTGCTGGGGATGAGGTCCTTGTAGCTTCGCTTGACCTTCAGCGTCTCTGCACGTGCGTTGCTCATCTTGTAGAGACGGTTGTCGCCGACCTTGGACCAGAACGGAACCAAGCCCCTTTTTCCATTTACAACATCTTTGTGAGGTCAAATCTGCCATTCAATTCAATTTGATTGATGAGGGATGGCTACCATTTCATGCTGGCCATTTCTCTTTTGCAATCTGTATCGTTGCCAGTGGTGCAGTAGACGACAGGCAGATGAGCGCCGGGGGCCAGGTTGTACCCTGGGTCGTACTTGTCCTTGTCGCGCCAACGACCGCCCGACACGCCCATCGTTTTTTGGATGACATCCGGCGCCAGCGAGCAGCACGCCCTGCCACACATCTTTCGGGAAGGGCACAGTACTGCCTTGACCGTCGAGAGGGCAACAGGTCTTGTTGATGCAATTGGCGCTGATTCAAGTGCTATTTGCGCCCCACAATTTGATTTCTTCGAAATTTTAAGCAAACACAACTTTTTTTCACTTTTATCGAACTCTTGGCAGCTGGTTCTGTTGCGTCGTGTGGGCTCTCTTGTTGTTTGCATTGCTGCCACCAGGACGTGGGGCCTATGTTCATCTTCTTCGCTCTGCCCTCTGCCGCTCAGAGCGAAATAAAATGCAGAGAGCGGAGAATGCGAGAGAATGGTAGCCTGGGCGGCGGGAGACTAGCAGCGACCCCAATCGGGGCGACGAAAGACAGCAACTGCTCGTACGCGTCACCTGCCAAGAACTGACGGTGGCCAAGAAGCACACAAAGCTCCAGAGCTGAGGAAGAAGCAAAAGGTGGTGTAAATACGCGCACTCGTCCACAACGATCACGAGATCACAAGATCTCAATCGATTAATCCCCAGGCAACGATTCAATTTGAAGATGGCGCAAACCGCAGTACTCCATGATCCCCTCTCAGAATTCGGTACGCAGGCGATCTCAGATCTCACAATGTGCTTTCGGGCATTGCGTTGAGTCATAATCTCTGAAATTCGTCCCTCAATTGTTCGCGTCAAACAGGACAAGAAATGAAGGAGGTGAACACGAGTGGCAAGAAGCCTTTCAGCACAGATGAGGAAGATGATGCGCACGCCTCATCTGCAGCCACCACATCGACCAGGAAGAGCACCAGGAGCAAGAGATCGCACAAAGAAGGTCCGACAACATCCACAGAAGCCACGCATTTATTTTTTTGTTTATTATTTATTATTTTGGAAAGATCGTGCTAAAAATTAGTGCTAAAAATAAGATCAAAAATATGCTGAGCCAAATATTGCTTTATCCATATTTATTCTAAATTATGCTCACCTTCCCCACCAACAGAGAAGCTGGAGAAGCCCACGTGGGTGCCCGACGACCAGGCGACCAAGTGCCACAAGTGCGAGACCGCGTTCTCGCTCTTCCACCGCAAGCACCACTGCCGTGGCTGCGGCAACATCTTCTGCATCAAGTACGTCCCTCTCAGGTCGAGCTTACCGTGTGTCAGTTCTGATCTGACCCCTTTAAATCCGGAAAACACATGACGTGGTTTGATCGGTCTGGGGGGTCAATGGCTTCTATTAGGTGCTGTGACCACTGGCTGCTGCCTCCGAAGGAGCTCGAGTACACCACCATCCAGCGGACCTGCCAGTCGTGCTTCAAGCGCCTCTCCTCGCTCAACTTCGAGCGCAACTACGACGAGTGGGGCCGCAAGGACGATCCGGTACGCCTGCCTGCATTCATTTTACTTCCTTGGCTGTCTACGCTCACCGACCGACCGACCGACCGACCGACCGACCGACCGACCAACTGACTGAGCACTCTATTCATTTTATTCTTCTCAGGCGATCGTTCTGGTCCATGGCGCCTGCGGTACGCGCAAGAACTGGTTCTTGCTCGGCCCCGCCCTGGCGGAGGTTCGTCTCCTTTTCCTGATCTCGGCTCTGTGCTACCTGCGTTCGTGTGTGTTGTGCGTGGTGTGTGTGTGTGTGTCACACCACTAAACCGCGCAATCTCCTGCTACTGCTGCATGATCAACAGAAAGGCTATCATGTGATCGCGCCTGATATGCCCGAGCACGGTGCGCGCTACGAGGAGAAGCTCTACATGAACAGCGGTACGCGGCCAAACGGAATCTATTACCTGCGCCAAGTGTGGGCCGAGCTGACTTGGCAATTCCAATCATGGCCCGTCGGTTGCTCACTGCAGCTATTGAGGCGGTGGCGGACATGATCCACTACTATGTTCCCTCCAAGAAGGCGCTGGTGTTCGGCTACTCCATGGGCGGCTACATCGCGATGGCCTTTGGCGCCAAGTACCCCGAACTCTGCCGGTACACTCAGCTGCTACCACCACAATTCAATTTAATTACAATTTGCGTTGTGGTCCATCGTCGTTGACGTGTTGTTGGTTCTGGGACGGCGCAGCGGCTTGATCATCGGCGGCGCTGGCACGGACATGAGGAAGGACCGCTCCATGCTCGAGTGGATGGGCACCTACTACAAACTTCTCTCCAATAAGTACGACACATCTTTGTTTCTTTATATTTATTTATATTTATTTATTTACGGTAAAAATCGCTTGCAGGTCGAAGACTTCCCTCGAGAAGACCTGGCACGACACTCCCTTGATCGCGGCCAAGGTGGAGGAAGACGGTACCGTTCCCACAATGCTTGGCTCTCATGGCGCGTTACCTCGGCTGACCTCTGTGTTCCGCTTTCGCGTTGTAGTGCTGAACGAGTACTGCTTGCGCGCGGGCAGCTACTACGAGGCCTGGCCGTCGATTGTCGTATGTTCTCTCTCTTCTCTCTCTTCTCACTTGTCTACGATTCCACCGCGCACTTACACTTGAACAAAACATGCAGAACATGTTGACCTCCGAGAACTATAAGAAGGTGCTGATGCAGGTCAAAGCACCCGTGCTGTTCTTCACCGGCCAGCACGACAGGAGAGATGCGGTACGTGACCTGTCCCGCGGGCTGCTTTCTCTTTCCCCGCAAGTGAGTGCCTGGCACATGCTCACTCCAATCCGCTCGTTCATTCAGGAGCGAAAATGGTTGAACGCCACCACCAACGCCCGCCTCGAGGTATGTCTCCCACGCCCCCACCTGTTGTTGCCTTGCGTCTCGGTTTCTCTTCTCGCTCACCTTCTCGACCGTGTTACGTGTTACACCACACTCACAGGTAATCCCCGATGCCGGTTATATGTGCGTGATCGACAAGCGACACAGGGACAAGGTCAGGGACCTCATCCTCCAGTTTGCCGGCTACGCCTTCTCCCTCAGTACGTGGCCACTCCCTTCACCCCCACAACTGCGCTTACACTGATTCTGATTGACATTGGCATTGTTGTGTGCTCTACCGATGCAGGCAAGGACAAGCGGCAGGACAAGAGGCGCACGCAGGTCCCGCGGGTCCCAAAGGCGGCCACCGAGAAGGGAAAGGAGAAGGAGCAGGACGCTTCGTCATCCGCCACCACCTCGACCAACAAGGAGGAGCAGAAGGTGGAGGAGCAAAAGAAGCCAGAGAGCAAGGAGGAGGCGGAAGAAGAGAAGCCGCAGCCGGAGACCAAGGACGAGAACGCCGAAGAAGAGAAGCCCTGAGCGAAGAAGATCGCGGAGTGTAGAGTAGTCATCAGAGCAGCATCAAATAACAAATAAACTCCTATTTGTTGGGATGAAACTGCTGTTATCTTTTTGTGCTGTTCACGAAATTAAAGGAATATTAAAATAATTTTGTTTAGCCAGAAGTATGGAGCTGGACGAGGACGCAAAGGCAAAGCTGAAGGAGCTGTTCGAGGCACTCGACGAAGACGGCAATGGCAAACTCGACGTATGGAACACCATCGCCTTCTTACTTTGGCTTCGCTCGGTCATTGGGCAGCGGTCTTCGCTTTCGCTTTCGCTTTCGCTTTCGTTCTTTGGGGGGGGGGCTTTGACAATATATATTTTGCGCCTGACACCTGTCAACCTGGCACAGTTGGCCGAGCTGAAGGTGATCCTCAACGACGACGAGAGCGACCGATGCTTCTCCGATGCCCAGCTTTCAAGTGCGCACCACCTGCCATGGGTCCATTTTGTCGTGTGCTTGCGCGTGCGTGTTGCCAACAACCTGCTCACGATGTGGACCATCGCTGCGTGTGTCGTGTGTTCTGTCGTTGCGGTGTTGTGGAGCGCTGCAGTGTTGGTCAAGTCAGTGAGCAAGAAGGGGAAGGTGAGCCTCGATTTCGACGACTTCTTGGCGCTGGTGTCCCACATGCAGGAGCTCCGACTGACCTTCAACGCCATCGACAAGGATGCCAACGGCTCCATCGACCACCAAGTAAACTCCCTCTCTCTCTCTCTCCTGGTGACCGCCATCACCACCTTCGATGCCCATGCGTCGCTCTGCGAGCTCGCATACTTTTCCGTCTGGGATTGATCACCCTAAACGGAACCCATGCAGGAGCTGGAAGAAGCGCTCAGAGAGTTGGGCTTCAAGTTCACGCCTGATCAAGTGAAGCTGTTCCTTCACATGGTACGGACCTTTTGTATGCGCCGTGCTT